ACAGCACTATGTAGTTGGATACGACAGACATTACATTTTCTAATTGCATAGCTTTTGCACATAGATTTTCTTGATGGATGATGCGATGATATATAATTTAGAAAAATTCTGTTCTCCCATTTTTTGTTTGAATAAAGAAATGACTCCCTTATTTTTTCCTGTCATTGCTGCCGCAACACTTCAGAAAATAATATTCAATTTAAACTAGACGAATTACATCGAAAAATATTTATTTATAATTTCTTCTAAACATCTCGTGGGCCGGATAGAAACTCTTCGCGGGCCGCAACTGGCCCGCGGGCCGGGGGTTGCCCACCGTTGACTTAGTTTACTGTTAGAAATTTGGTTCCTGTATACATGTTAAACAAATTTCAATATACTGCATGTTCAAATGGAAAGTTTACTTGCAAGGAGTAGACTTGGTAGTGCTGTAACTGTTCTGCTACAAGCTCAAGAAAGATTTAAATCTTGAGCATTTATTTACTATAGACTCAAGTAAATTGGAATTGCAAAATCTATAACTTTCAAGTAAACTTTTCTTCATTTGATCACTGTACAATAAAAGCTTGGTTTATATTATTTATAGCATATAAATACATATGTAATATTTATGTTGGAAGTTACTGTCAAAAATTTATATAATACTTACTTAATTTCATCATATACCACATTTCTGGAAGAAAGTAACTATGACCAAGAATAATCCAACAAGCAGTGAAGAATCGCATTCCATGGAAACAGCTTAAATTCTGGTGTAGAGGGTTCAACAATCTTTTCGTATTTGCGTAGATTGAAAACGACTTTGCAAACCTTGTCAATACAGCTCAATAAGAAAATATATTGTATACAGGAAAAGAACAATAAATGAGAAAAAATTGTAAAAAAAACATTTATAATGACTAATCGTTATCAATTAATCACAATACATTATTAATTGTTACATGGTTTAAATTTTAAAAAAAACCCATACTTTTAATATTTGAACAAATAAAATTTGAAAATGTATTCTAAAATAAAAAAAATTTATTTTAAAAGAAAATGTTCAAAAACAAAATATTATAAGAATCAATAGTATTAAATACTTACTTTTGTAGGATGGTTTATCTTCACTTTTAGTAAATTGTGTGTTTGTCACATCAAAAATAGTTCCTGCAGTTGCAAATATGATAAATGCACTAAACAGTGCTCTGAAAAATATTTTGTCTATAAATTGAAAATGTGTTTTAAATAGGATAATTAATCAGAACTTTCAAACACACTAATTTTCTTAAAATAAAATTAAGGATAATATATTAAACAATGTCGTCTTTTAAATTAATCATGCTATAGAAAACTCTAAACATTGGACTGATGCTTTTTAAATTGAAAATCTCAACCTTCTCAACATGTGGAAAATATAAATATCTCAAATTTGGCATAATTCTGAGATATTTATACTTTCTACATGTTGAGAATGTTTCGATGTTTATGCAATTAATCTAATCAATGAAACATTCCAATGCTTAGAATTCCTGTGATACAATCAATATAAAAAAGTCATTTAGTAGATTGTTTTCAATTGTGTTCTTAAAACAAAATATATGCCTACAGAATTTTAAATGTATATATAAAATTTAGATAAAGTAGACAACAAATCTGCTTTATTACAGTTCCTTTTTTAACTAAACATTTTAAAGCTTACAGGTTCATTCTCAGTATAAGACAATTTAAGAGGTTTAATTGTCATTCACATTTTTCTCTTCATGGTTATTTTGTAATTGTTCATCCTCCAGATCTATAAAACAAAGTAATTGTAAATCACTTTGTTTAGTGAGAATCTTGAAGAATGACCTTATAAGACCAAAAACATTTAAAGTGTATTATTATTTTTAATTCTAATAAAGCAGGATTGTTGTCAATAAAGCAATCAATAAACATTTAATAAACCGTAGCCAAACATATGTAATAGGCTGTATCCATATTATTTTTGGGTTCAAATTAATTGATTAAATTACATAATTTGGTCTAAAGGCACATTAAAGATAGCATTTTAACTGTTTACTTTAGACCAAATTCTGTAATTTAATTTGGCTTAATTCTATGCCCAAAATAATCTTGCATTTAAAGCAATCTCATTCCAAGTGTTTAATAATATATCCTGCAATTCGTCTTAAAGTACTTCAATAAAACAAACTCACAAATAAATACCAAACATCCTTTTTTTAGCAGCAAAACTTTTACTAAGAAAAAATAATTTTGATTTAACTTAGACCATCTTCAGGTTCTCTATCTTTTGAATATATTACAGTTTCCAATAATTAAACTTTAAATATAAAATATACTCACATTATAAAAATCTGAAATAATGTTAATTCTTTAGACGACGATGTCTGACATTCCATAACATTTGTTGTAAAACCCAAATTATAAACCACTAAAAATAATAAATTGTTGAAGTAAAATAAATAGTTACTAATATTGAAAAATAAAATAACTTATTACATATGATGGTTCAAAACTCAGTTAACTATGATATATTTTAAAGATTATTTTAAAAACAGTTTTGAACAGCTGTATGTAATTATTTATGACTTAAACATTTTCAATAATGGGAATGAATTGTGAGTAAGTGTTCAACCATAAACCATTGTCCTGATTTAGGGGAGAGAGAAGTATACAAAAAGACCACAATCATCATTTAGGAGTAGGATGGGTAAAGAAAACAAAAATACAATTATATAAAATAAATGAATTTGGAAAAATTAAAAAAAATATATGTACTACATTTAATAATGTATTGATATTTTCACAGTCAATTAAATTACCCAATTTTCTTGAAATCTCAGTGCATGATTGTGTTAAGTGAAAGTGTTATTTGCAATACTTTTATTCTCTTTACCCAGGACATGTGCTATACAGAAAAGCATGGTGTTTCAAAATAAATATGTAGCAATTATTAAAAATACCTGCTTGTGTCATGTACTGGATGTCATCTTCCTGGCAAACAGAAGGAAAACACATTCCGATCCAGAAACTTAAATCTTCAGGTATGCGTTTGATCAAACTAAGATTAGAAAACTGTAAAAATAAAAAATGTAAAATTTTATATCATCACTTCTTGTAAAATAGAAACATAAATAAAAATAATTACTTAATACAAAATGCATAATGATTACTTAGACTTCTCTTTAATGTTATTCATAGTTCTTTTATCACTAATTAATGTGATCAATTGATTTTTATACAAATTATTTTCTTGTCTTGTTTTTTCCTCTTCTTGTCCTAATACACTTTGTTCTTTGTACTTCCTATTCTTTGTTTTGGGTTTGGCCTGAACTCATTGGTTAGATAGGTCAAAAGGAACAAGAGCATTTCTCAAGACAGTTGTGAAGTGAATATTAGAATATAGATTAGAGAGAAATGGATCAATTGTTCATTTGGGACTTTCAAAAAATGAAGTAACAAGCAAAACATGCTGACTGAAATAGTCTTGTTTCTTTTTCTCTAAACTTCAATACCTCTTGATAAATTAACTTAAAGAGGTATTGAATTTTAGAGTAAAAGAAAAGACTATTTCAGTCAGCGTATTTTGAGTTTATTCTCTATTGAAAAGACTAATCTGAAAATAGAACTGTGTAGGACATGAAATAGGAAGGTCGTGAAGAATTTTTCTGCTGATACTAAGTAATTGTTTTTATTGTTTTTATTGTTTATCCCTTTTGCAGAGGGAATGTTGAACATTCCCTCTGCAAAAGGGCTGCATGTATTGTAGATTTTCTTTGTAAGTGTTTGAACTTTCATTAAATGTGCTGCAATCAGTTGGTTGCTTATATGCAAGCAAGCTGTTGTAAATTCAATTGAATTTGACCAAATAAAACATAATTTTAGTTACAGTACTTTTCATTCTTGATACCTTAGTAATTTACAGAATGTTTTGGTTCATATATTGGTTACATTTTTGGATTAAGTGCACAAACTTCAATTGCACAAATTAGAATGAATTTTTCCAACATAAATATATTAAAATCTGGGAATGACATATTTTGCAACATAATAATTCTTTAAATAATTTCATATCCATGAACTAAAATTTCAAATAATTTAATAATTAAATGAAATATTGATGACAAAAATTTACTTGTACCTATTGTATCAGAAAAAATTTTCCTAAAAAAAATTCAACTGTGAAAATGATAATGATTTAAATAAAGAAAATCCAAGTAGCATGTAAATATTGCAATTTGATTTGTTTCTATAATTTTTAAGCAATCAGTCCATTTTGTCTTGTAATTTTAAATTGTATGAGCAAAAGCAACTCAACAATGCAGCATGAAAGACCCATTTTGCTGTACAAATAAAAATTTTTCATACAAGAAGTCACTGATAAGTGGCACTGGACCTATGCAAATCATTATTATAAATATTGAATATGTGCTCCATTTGTGTTCAGCAGTGGAAAATATGCTTTTCACTGCTGAACGTGATGAGTCTGCTTTAGTCATGAGAACATGCTGATAAACTCTGTCCTTTAGATCTGACACAAATGACATCTTTTAAAATGGTCTATCAAAAAATCCCATAGCCAGAAGTCATATGGGGTAAAATCAGGTAAACAAGAAGGTCAAACTGTTGGGAAGTAACAACTGATCACCCAATCATATATGAAAATCTGCCTTAACACACATTGAATAAAGCAAGGGATGTAGGAGGATGCACCATCTTTTACGAATCTTGAAGACTTTGTTAAAGCTCTGGATCAAAAAGTTGTTAGCATGTTAAGATACTGTTCTCCAATAACTAAGCAGATTCAGACCCCAGTTGTATAACTCCAATGCCACCTATCGTTGACATTTTGTACAAAAAACTTTTATTTAATAAATGGCAAATGCATCCAATCCAAATGTCCAAATGTTCTTTCATTTCAAGCAGTAGAACTCTAGAGCCATCTGAGTTGAGATGTTTAATTTCGACAACCCTGTATATTCTTTAGATACAATCCAATGTTTAATTGATATTAATGTTTAAGCATATAATAGCATTGAATTTGCATTTTTTTTTCTATTCAAATTACTTATTTAACTATTAACAATATGATTAAACACATTGACTGCTAACTACAAGTTAATTCATGGATAGTTTCCTTTAGGATGCCTTCTAAAAGTTATCTTGTGAAATGTGATCTGGCTTACAGCATCTGATACAAACATAAAAAATAAACGTTAATAATGAATAACGGGCATTTGGATTAAGAATTAAAAATAATGTTAATAGAATGGCAGTCAATGTGTTAAAATGTATTTTAAAATACTCTGCACATTATAAAAATAAAATAATATTGAGACTGTAAATATATCAGAAACTAATTGACACTAGTGAAATCAAAATGTTTGCTTACTGTTTTACATTGTGTAATCTCTTATCAAGGCTGTTTCAGTTTCATATTTGGTTTGGAATCAGAACCAAATGTAAAACAGAATAAAATTATTGATTCTGATTATCATCATCATAATGAATAGAATAAAGCTATCAATTTTAAGATAAATATTCTATAAAAACTTATTTAAAACAATGTTTTTACCAATAATTCTATAAACCAAAATATTGCAAAAAAAATTCTAATTCTTTTTGTCTGCTCTGTGGATGAGTGGTTTCATCCATTAGGATACAATTGTAACCAATCTCATGAGTAAATGGCTTGACACAGTGTTCTAAGATATAGCCTAATTTCATCCCTATATTTTTGAACATTCAAGAAACCTGTTGGAAACAAAGATTAGTCAGCCACCCAAACAGATGCTGGTCCATACCATGACACTACTGCACCAAACATATCCCTTTCTCAAGGATATCTGAACAATGATTACATATCCTTGGATCCCTCCAAATAAATAGGATTGCTTGAAATCACTCTATAATGAAAATCTGGATTCATCTGTAAAAAAGAATGGATCTCCATTGATCATGTCAGTTGATATGGTGCATGCACCAATTGAGTTAATCTCTTTTTATATTGATAAGTGAGAGGAATGCAAAGCATAGGTCTCCTAGCATAAAGACTACACTCATAAAACCTATGTAGTGTTGAAGAAGAAACTGAAGTTCTCACTCATTGCTGCTAAAAGATCAGAATGCAAGTTAATTAGTAGATAGACATATTTTTCTTTACAGCAGTTAATTTCGGATAATGGTTTTCTTTTGCAGTTATTTTTTATGGTCTTCCATAGCTAAACCTTTTTAAAGAATTATTTGTCCTTTGGAATATCTTCAAACGACTGGATTGCAGATCAATTTCTCTAAGCTAGCTGAATGTTTTAGCTTGAGGTTGGCCAGCTTCAAGTCGGCTTTCTATCTTATTTCATCTGCTAAATGATGTCACAAATATTTAATTAAAAAGTCATCTAAATTATAGCTATTAGAACATAAATGAATGAGAGCAAAAAACATTCACCTTTATAAATATGTAAAATAGCTCAATTTTAAAGGTTGTGTTAATTTGCATAGAATATTCAGTCAGCAACATTAAACACCTACAGATTCAATTTTACGGCAATGTTTTATGAAAGCTTCAAACTATAGTTTGATAATGTGTATTTTCACCATTAAAACCTTCTTAAAATGTAAAAGTTCTTTAAAAAAGTAGGTATTTTTGTACATATTGATGCAAAAAGATGTATTTTTTGCGTGTTCTATATATATTTTTATCGCTAATTTATTATGAACTACAAGAGCAGATTTAAACAGAGGCTACAGCTAAGAGTGTTATATTTTTTAAATTTATTATTATTTGGTGGAAAGCAAAGAGCCTCTTACATGCTATAACTTAAGCCCAAAAGTCTAAGTTCAGTCCTGATTGTGCATTATTAATTGAAACAAAGTATTTTTATATTAATGTTTGATAAAAAATTGAAAAATATTTGATACTTAAGATTTTAAGAGACACAAAATATAAGTAAAACTTATAAATTCTCAAAATTTTTAATGTTTAGTTTTATTTTTTTTGTTCAGAAAATCATGTTTCATTGAAAACATGGTATACACATTACATCTTATTAGCTTATAATAATTTACATTAATTAATAATGATGATAATAATAATACAAGTATATATTGTATTAAGTTTTTAAAATAAAGCATGTTTTTAAATTTTAATCTCAATGATACTTTCATAAAATCATGTTTTTGTAACTCACTTTCTTTTAAAAATTTTCAAAATATTCATTATTTAAGAGTTAATTGATTAAAATAACATATTTTAATCACATTTTGTGAGTGACTTATTAAATATATTCTACACTAATAATAATTAAATAACATACACAAGTTGTCTATTGAAATTTCTTTTTAACTACTTAAAATTGGATAAGTATTTGCTTACGGAATGTTTAATGAATGAAAATTAATATAAAATATCCACCAAGGATTAAAGAAATTGGAATTATTACGATAGGACAATGAATATTTGATGGACGTAATAACAATTTTTAGTGATTTAAAAACGATAAATGAATTCTCAACATCTAAAATCATAAATACGACAGCTCTATATCGAACATTGCAAAAGATAGTTAACTGATCTCAATATAACTCCATTGGTTGTAGAGAAGTTGGAAGATATCTTAAAATTATAGTAAAAACTTGATAAATGTAAAGGATTTCAGGTAAATTCCCTTATTGAAAAAAACTGACATAATTTTCGACATATTTGTTTCAACTATTTACATAAAACCTTAAATTTCTTTTAATAAAAGAATTTTCTGCTAATAATTAAAACAAGCAATTAGAGCATTTTTATCGAGAGTAAAATTTTCCCAAGTTGCCGACGTAAAACGAAACGATTTTTGGCTTTTTTCTTTTACGTTTTCTTCTCTTTTATTTTGTAAGACACCATTCAGTGATGTGGCAACGGATGGACTATTTGATTTCCCATTTCTTTCTGAATTTACTTCATCATTTCTCAAATAATTGTCTTTAAATTCATTACTGTCGTTAAGTTGCTTGTGTTGTTTTAATCGCTGCATTCGAGGAGGAGGAGAATAATTAAATTTATGGCTGCGACTGTCTTTATTTCTCATGTAATCGGCAAATTCGTTCTGAACCATAAGATTATAATACTGAGGTTTCTGTTTCGACTTTTCCACATACTGAGAATTCGACACGTGCGGCTGATTACCATGATTTATCGCATTCTGATTTTGTAAATGCTTCTTTTGTTTTGAAGCTATCCATTTTCTCAGAGGTTTTATAAATGGAATTACCATAAAAAATGCATTTGGTCCTAACCCAAGATTTGTTTTGGAAACTTGGTCTTTTTTATGCGAGGGAAGATCGTTAATCGGAAACCATTCGATACTCTTTATTTCCTTTCTTGTTTTTGGCTGAAATTTCGTATCTTTGGTAACGCCTGTAATTATATACAGTCTGATCTGCTGTTCGTTAACGCAGTGATCGATAAATTCTTCTTTATCGATCAGTTTACTTATATCGAAACCCGTCTCTTCCAACACTTCTCTCACCGCGCAGTCGTGGGGGCGTTCTTCTTTATTCACTTTTCCTTTCGGGAAACCCCAACTGGATTTGGCCCAATAGCCCTGAACCAACAACACGTTCTCCATTTTCTCGTCGAGCAGTATGGCTCCGAACGTAGGAACCGCCATCTTATACTCCCTCCAGGTATCCAAAGTAGTATCGACGTTATTGGCATGCTCTCGAAGAAACGGAATGTGATTAAAAATGATATGTGAGAATTCCCTCATAGAACACTGTCTTAACTGGCTATCTTCTGTACAATAAAAGTCCAAATAAAACCAATGAGCTAATTCAATCTGAAAGCACAGCCTGACTAATTCTTTACGTTCTTCCTCGGGTACGTTGATGATGAAACGGCTGCTTAAATCATCCAAAATATCTGAAGGGATAGTTATTGGAGATGCTTCTGTGTAAGTGGTCATGTCAATACCAGATCTTACGCTTTGTACAGCGTCTACACTACTCATAATAATCACACGGACAAAAACAAAGCACTTAAAACTGGAAGCACATATTCCAATTTCTCGAACTTATTATTAAGCAGAATTGCCTAAACGTTTACCACTATTACACACTTGTGACTAGCTTATTATAGGTCAGCAAAAGCGTACACGGCAAATATAACGCCCCCTGCCAGAAAAATCTCGAAACACATAAATTCGAAAATTATAAAATATAAATTTTTTTTTTACGTCGCTATTTTTAATCTAAACTAACTTTAAACGTTATTTTAAAATATAAAAATAAGACAGTTAAATTATTTAAGTTGAATAAAATGTAGTAATTTGGATTTATTTGCTAATGCCTCGTTAACGGGAGGATGTTTCCTTGTTTTCGCGTGTCTAATGCCTGGACTCCACATTACCTGAAAACAGAACTGAAACGAAAACTCTATATGTTTCAGTTCTGTTTTCGTTTTAACTTCACTCTACTAAAAATGCTCCATCGACAATTACACTGATCAGTGTAATTGTCGTAGAGTCAAACATGGACGACGCTACGGATTTACCATACTTTCTCCGCATTCATTAACAATGAAATTGTTTATAATCTTTGAATTATTTACATTTTTTCTCTTACAGACATCTGTATTTTCCAGTGGGGTGCCGTCCTTGGAAGCGCCGCTTCCCTTATATTTTCTAAAATATGAAAATAATCGGACAATATGTATTTGTATTTGAACGTATCTTATTACTACAAATTTCCATACTACATGTGGGAAAAAACGATAAGATTGCTATTATATATTCGAATGTCAGTGGCGGAATGAATAGATAAATCACGAGTAGATTTATAATTTAACCCACCGATAGGAGTTTACTAGTATGTTTTTATGATAGTTCTGTATGTTGACAGGAGTTTTAAAAAAATCCATTAAAATATTTTATATATTTATTCTGCTCTTCCATCTTGTATTACCAGTCGACCCCCCTATAACACTGTTGATAATTCCGTTTTATATGAATTCCATGTTGTACGAGTCACTTAGATTTTACAAATACGTGTGCCGGGCTGTGAACGGCTCACGTTTTTGTAAAATTTAAGTGACTCGTACAACATGGAATTCATATAAAACGGAATAATCTACAGTGTTATAGGGGGTCAACTGGTACTTACAGATTTCAATGTTAAACTAGTGAGTTTAGGATTTAGTATTTCCCATCTATAAGGGGATGTAGGAAAAAACGTGTACAATTCTTGTACAATGTTAAAAAATTAACTGTTAAGCCTGGACTCCACATTACCTGAAAACAGAAACTCAGAAACAGAACTGAAACATATAGAGTTTTCGTTTCAGTTATGTTTTCGTTTTAACTTGACACCACTAGAAATGCGCCATCTGTTGATCAGTTCTGTAATTGTCGTAGAGTCAAACATGGACGACGCTACGGATTTTGCCATGATTTCTCTGCATTTATTAACAATTTCATTGTTAATAATCTTCGAATTATTTACATTTTTTGGCGTACAGACACATTTTCTAACTTCTTCGATGAAGAATTCCAAATCTATTTGATTCCTCATCCTTTTCGCTACACTTTCCACCATTACGACAATCAAACTATACGTGACTAATGCACTTGACTACGCGTCACAAATTCTTGCGTTTTTATTGGTTGCAGTACGACAGAAGCGCGGGACGAAAACGGAAAAGTTAAATAATTTTTAACCCTGCTTTCAGTCTTTGTTTCTGTCCAACTGAACGTTATAAAACTGAAAGTTTCGTCAATTTGGCTTTCAGTTTTACGATTACGTCGAGGATTCCGGTAATGTGGAGTCCAAACTAAACACCTAAATAGGAGCCAGTTTCTCATACAAAGTACTCTCGGCATCTCTCCCTTGGCAGATCGGCCTTCGTTGCCTTAACAGTCCAATTCAAACTAATAATTATGTGCTGAAGAATAAAAAGAAGGTCACGTAGGTTGATTCGGTTTTATTCAACGCGACACGTGGGCGATCTGCCGAGGGAAATGCGTCCCGGATGTCTTTTATGGGAAACTGGCCTCTATTTAGGCGTTACTGACGTGAAGAAAACCCGAAAAACTCCACGTGGCCACTTGTTAGCGAGGTGCAAATCCGCGACCAACTACCAATGTTCGTGATCCGGTTCCAGAAATTTTCTCTCTCACATTCCCCATTACCGACCCGACTCGCTTCCCTATGATCTCAAAATGTCAAAAAACATACAGTAGTTGCAAGAGTAAAAGTAATTGTAGCCAATTTTTCAAAATTCGTTTATTGCCTTTATCGACATATATTTTAATATATTTTTTTTAATTTTAACGGTTCTTTGCAACGAGCTACGTAGAGTGGCTGTAGCAATGCCATGTTAAAAGAAAATTGAATACATGTCAGCCATTTTCCTTTTAGTCAGAGGACGTGCCATTTGTGTTGTGTAAAGGAAAGAAGAGTTTTAAATTAACCCTTAACTAAGATGGTGCGAGTCAAAATGACACTACTTAGTATATTTTTTTTAAATTTTGAAAGTAAATAACAAGACATTTCTTTCTTTAAAATAGCGCCTTAATATTAAAGGGTTTTTTTTAAAACTCTTTCTGCCCTGTGGGCAATAAGAGGGTCTCTTTTTAGCAAATCCGTTATGGATTCGGCCAGGCCCATAATGGGGCGGCCGGGTGATGAGAGACGGGCCCAACATATCCGGACGGACCACCCCCGAAAAATTCCTGGGAATTATTCGACCCGTCCGGATCTGAATCCAGGTCCCCCAGAGCGGTCAAGGTGGTACCCTACTGCTCTGGTATTAAAGGAAAATCTAATATTAAAGCGTGAGAGTTGTCATGTATCATACGATGGACACAGGAAAAAGTCCTTTTAACGTCCACCGGGGAGAGTTAAAAATCAACTAAACTAATTTTTCTATTAATTTAATTCCCATATTTAAAAGTTATGACTTATAAATAAAATTTCTTATCGGAAGTAAAAGAATTTCTTGCTGAAAATTCATTACGATGAATGTATATAACCTGTACTTTGTAAAGCAATGTATTCTCGTAATTTAAACTAAACAATACCAAATTCTGAAAGCATTAACAGGCTCTTTTTTTCGTTCCCATTATGGTTCAATACATTCCGCAATGGTACGCCCAGTTGATGAAGAACGGAGGATTACACATCATGGTCAAAGTTTAAGATTTCGGCAATCAACCGGAATAACAGGTTAGTCGTATGGCCATCATATAAGCTAGTATACGTTGTCATTTATGGGAGTTTGTGTTTGTTTCCGCAAAGTACAAGAGCATAAGAACATTAAGATTGGCTTAATTTTATCCATTACTAACGAGTCTAATTTACAACGAATGAAAGATAAGAAACAACTCCCCGACACGAATTTCTTCAATTTACTTTTGTGTAATTTAATATTGATAATTTATACCTTATTTTAAGTTTTATAGAACGTTTTCTAACTGTAAAAATGAAAAATTTTTACCTGTTTTTCTTCTTCGATCACGACTTTCGATGTTAAATTTTTATTTTCAACGACTTTGATCGATTGCAAAATTCGAGGCGGTCGTAACTTAACTAGACAATATTGTCCACGAAACATTTCCTCTTTATTTTTAAAATCTTGAATTTTTAATTCCAGACATTGATCGAATGAACCCAATTCCAACAAGACACCACGAAAAAATCCAGGAGGAAGTTTTGCAGAGGAATCAAACACTGAAAAATAACTATCAAATTAAATTTCTTGTTTTTTTTTAAACGTGTTAATCATTTAATTTATATATTTAAAAATTAAATAAATGATAAATAACACAAATATAGGCCTATATTTAAAATTTATGTGCGTGGCTCATTTTTAATGGGCTTAATATAAAAACAATTCCATCGTTCTTCGACGGTCGATCGCATCTATTTTCGACATTTATCCTGGTTTACAGTTAATCACGAAATTAAACTATAAAATGAGATATAGTTTATCCCGCTGGTATACTGTACTTTATTACTGTACAATGGAGCGATTAAAATCGTCCTGCCGGTAGGATGCTATTCATTCCATCGTTAAATGATACCAATAAATGATAAAAATTTAATAACGAGTTGTGTAACTTTCCCGGCAACAACATTTAAAATTGTATGTGGCGTCATCTGTTGAGATTTCGTTTTAAAAAATTTATATTATTAATTATTATAAAATAGCAAAAGACTTCATTTTGAGGGTAGAGATGAATGATAAAAATATGTTTAAATGGATTTAAAATCGGAAAATCAATATATTAAAGCCGAATTTCTTTTATAACTTTGTTTTTTCTTGCATTTTCTGTGAAATTGTTAATACTACACAGGCCTATTCATCAAAGAAAACAAGATCCAGACAGTCCTTTACGAAGTTTTCTAGTAACGTAATGGTAATTCGAATACACGAATTTTGTCAAAAGCATCCAGATTGGTCCAATGTACGTTTTATATCCAAATCTTGGTGTATGTAATTCGAATATACCAATAGCCATACCACACGCCCGTCACATTATACCACGGGCACGTGTGACGGGCGTGCAATTTACATGGATGCTATTTATTAATAATTTATCATTTTAGGACAAGAAAAGACAAAATTTATTAAAGAAATTTATTGAAATTTGGCTCTAATCTGCTATTTTTCCAATTTTAAAACTCATTTAAACATATTCTTATCAGGCGAGTGTGGATGCTCAGAGGGTTTTCTTCTCGTAAACTCTATAAATTGTCAAAGTACTGTTTTATTTCTGTTATATATATATATATATATATTCCTTAAATCAAACTTTAATTCAGTAAAGAATTTAAAGATATTCGTCAGTAAGAAAACGTTGAACTCGACATCATCCTATAAATGTAATTTTCACACAAGGAACCATTAGGAAGTAACAGAACATTTACTCTACGGATGAACGATTATCAAATTGTTTCTTTCATTAATTGAGATACATTTTCCTCTAGAAAATACCCTAAAATGTACAAAAAAACACCAAATAAATCTTTGATTTCTGTATCATTATTAGAGCATTTAAAGCTACGCAACGAGTAGTAAAATACTGTTAACTTTAAGGATAAAACATTTATCTAATTTAAATATTAAAAAAAGAAAGAAAAATAAGTGAGAGTTAT